TACAGCTCATGAAATTGAATCGTCGAAAAATGGGAGAATTTTCTTCGCTGTTTGCGCCTTTTTCTTATAACCCAATATGGGAATATTTCGATCAATCACGTTAGTCCAAATGATGATTCTACACAGTATTCACACTCTTCATGCAAATTGAATCAAAGAAAATAACTACCAGAATCTCTAGCTGGGACTGATTAATTAATTTAAAATTCGGACACCATTGTTCAAATTTTATTTGTACGCTGGTTTCATTTCTGATTGTCATACCCTATGATATATTGTTGGTGGCGTACAGGTAGGATATTCTTTAGCCACTCACATGATTCGCGGTTCGATAACTAGCCGACATAATCCTTCACCTTGCTTATCTGGTAATAAGCAGGGCAAAGAGGGAAGGTAAAGCGTGAGACTAGCAACTCCACCGTTTGAAAATAAAATCAATACTACTGAAAATTCAAATCTGTAACGGGAACCCCCTATGTTCCACTTAGAACGCATAGAAATGTGCGGGGAAAAGAAAGAAAACTTCGTAGATAGATTCAGATATGATGTCAGCTCATGATGAAACCCTCCAGCCAATCAGACGAAATCCCTACATAAACCAATACTTGAAAAATGGATCTGATTCTCACTAGCGACTTGCCTTATTCAAGCAGTCAGCTGGGGTTCTAACGGGAATCTGTGTTCAGTAGGCTGCAGTAGGTTTAAGGTGAGGCAGTAACTCATCGAAGAAGACATTGTAAAAGTGGCCATTAAGTGGTCTGTCATGAATTGGCAGAAGCTGGAGTTCATCCAGCCAGGTCTCAGTGGCTTAATGGTCTACGAGCTTGCTTGCCTTGTAACCAGAATGTCCTGCGTTTAAACGACGTTGATGAGTGAGTGGGTGAGCGCTGATGAAGAATCCCAAGCTAGGACACAAAAGCTGGCTGTAAAGTACTTCTAGGTACTCGAGTGCTTCTCTACCTGATTTCAGTTCATGATGAAATTCTCTAACAAAAACCTTTAGTTATAACACGAAAGTATTAGTTACAAGCAGTATTCTGGTATTCAGAAATTCAATAAGGTCGCTAACCGCTGCTCAGATTAGGGTTACCATCTTAATGTTCAAATGTTAGCCTAGTGATCGACTTCTCTGTCCATAATAAAGAAGTGTATGAGAACTTGTTAAATTCACGAATCTTAGCTTGTGGGGATATGACTCGTGTCAGGTGAGATCACAGATCGATGTCATCAGTTGAAGAACCATTGGAAACCACGGGCGACTAGACAGCTGTTTCGTCCTAGTCTAAGATTTTGAAACAGTACACACTCATGACTTCACAGGCATCTTAAAGTGATATTGGTCGTCGGTCCAAATAGAAATTAATTATTAAGATTTTCGCTATTGTCTGACTATAGGACTAAGATGCCTGGAGTTTTAGCAAGATGTCACAACCTGTGGATTCCAACAGGTCGACTGTGAGGATGAATACTCATTGGCGGACACCGGTTGGTGTTTGCACTAAATATTGAGAAATTCATCAGCTATTGGAGTTTGTCTCAGTGGATGAATAGTCAGTGAGCTTCCTCATAACTCGAAGGGTCTTGTATTCGATACCTAGGGGAGTAATGGATGCATTCTGCTTAAGCCGAATGGGAAAGCTGTTCACAACTTTCTGGTTTACAACGGTTCTTAAACTTAATCCAGTTCGTAATCGAACTTGAAACTTAGAAAATCACAAATACTCTTTAGCCCTCAATACAAGCATACCTCCAATTAAATATTAAAGGTTATCAAAGATTAGACTGAGTTACTAACTAAGCTGAAAATTTTTATTTCTAGACGATTTACTACTATCTACCAATTTAACTGCTCCTGTGGAGTGAGCCAGTTGGTTGTACAGGCCGTACAATTAGGCATGTTTCTCGTCGAATTTCCGAACATCACCCTGTGTGATGGTTAAGGAAAGGACAAACAAAATCTGTTCGCAGCGCTATTCTATCTCATCTTGTGGATGTGACAGAACACAAGATTGACTTTAACTCTACTTTCAGGGTCATTTACCACATACCTACGAATCTCAATTTCGCCTTAAGAGTTCAACTACTAAATATTGCAAAGGCTGTGGGGTTCCATATTAACAAGCCTAATTTATGCATCCAAAAGAAGTTAGTTCAGACATTATTCTTACCGCGTGGCCATCTAGGTTCGAATATCCTGAATTTTTGGAATTTTCTTAATTTTAATTTGATATTCTATTTGCTATTATATCTTTATTATTATTATTATTATAATTTAAGCATCTTTAATGAATTGTAATTCCACTGCGATCTTACTTTACAAATCGATATTATTTGAAGAAACACTAATATTGTTATTGACTACTATTCTAGAATATCCTATGTATACAAACATATATATTCTATGTATATATATATAATTGTAGAGCCAGAAGAGGAATTTCTCGAAAAGGATATTCTTTGCTCAATTATTGTTCTGGTTTATAGATTTCCAGAAGAGTTGAACTTTGTGATGAAGATGTCCAGGGTGACATCGAAACATCTACCAACGTAAATATCGATCACAGGTGAACACTAACACTCTGACCTATACTTATACTTCACTGTTTATGCATTTTTATTATTTTGGTGAAATCTTCAAAAATGAATAAACAAATAAATCGATCAAGAAGAAGAAGAAATATCGATCGATTAATTCCTGTTCCAAAATTCATTTATTTATTTATTTATTATTTGCATGTTTGTTTTTCTATACTACTGTGGTTACAATTGAATTATATGGAGAAGGTTGTTTTTATTTTGAAGTGGACTACACATTGAACAGAGTCAATCTGAGCAGCGCGCTTTGTTAGTCTAAAATCCTACAGATATTGTATAAGATGCACCCGTTTACACACACAATTACACAAACAGACACGCCCCATAACAAGCACCGATATACACTAATGCATAGGTGTAGATTGAGATGAAAGTGAGGAAACTACAATGTAATAGGAGAGTTACATTCCGTCCGTTAAAGACTAACTTTATATATATATATATAAACCGTTAAGTGGGTGCTTGGAAATGTCGGAAAGAACAATTTTTGACTACATTTAAAGAACAAAGTAAAAGGGTATAAGTATCATCAGTATATTAAGAGAAGAGTATAATTCCATTGTGGAGTAGTTGTATTTGATAAATATACACACAAGCACAGACAGGGACAAGCAAAGGAAATCTGGTAATAACGTCCATGTGACTACTAGTCATTGCTGAGTTTTATACCCTTGATATAATAAGGAAATTTGTATTAAGTAGTTTAAGTGATAAAGCTGGAGTAATCTATTCTAATAGATTACTTTTTTTAGCAACGTACAGAAAATTATCAGAGAATTTTCAAGTATTGGTAGGCAGGGATTTGATTGATTGTTTGATTGATTTATTGATTGGTTACAGGATTTCATCACGAGATGACATCAGTTAGTGAACCATTGGAAAACCACCAAAAAGTTCCTGGATAGCCAGCTGTTTCGCCAGCCTAGTTTGAAAGTGTTCAGCAGTACGCACCCACCAACGAGTTTCGAACCCAGCAGCACCTTCTGGTAAAAAGGCGAGCTAGCTCGTAGACCATTAGGAAGCCACTGAGATCCGATGCAATCGCCAAATCTATGAATTCCAACTTCTGTGAATTCACGACATAGCGTGACCGTTAGCCAATGTCTTCGGCGGGTATTTTTCCTCACACACCCAACCTGCTGAACCCTACTGGTCACGAGAATTACTTAGTTGTTAAAATTATCATCCAGATATATCGATTGATAAACATTTGAATTCATCATCAAGGTGAGGTTGTATGTTAACACCAACTGAGATGTTTAAGTATTGGTTTGTAGCGATTTGGTTGATCGGTTACAGGATTTCATCATGAGCTGACATTAGTTACAGAACCATGGGAAAACCTGGGAGTACTGGACAGCTGTTTCGTCCTAGTTTAGGACTCTTCATCAGTACGCACCCACCGACAGGGTTTGAACCCAGGACCTTCTGGTTACAAGGCGAGCTCGTATACCATTAAGCCACTGGGACCCGATCCAATGGCCGGTTCATGAAATCTAACTTCTGCCGATTCACTACGTAGCGCGACCCCTAGCCAATGTCTTCGGCGAGTATTTGTCCTAACACCCGACCTTCTGCACCCTACTGGTCACGACTTCTCCAGTGACTTAATGGTATACGAGCTTGACTTATAACCAGAAGGTCCTGAGCTCGAATCCCGGTGGGTGCGTACTGATGAAGAATCCCGAACTAGAACGAAACAGCTGTCCAGTACTCCAGTGCTGGTTTTCAGTGGTTCTCTAACTAATGTCAGCTCATGATGAAATCCTGT